GTTTTGGGGAACTTCTCGGAAGAGCGAGTAACAGTGTTTTACACATCCATGTCATATACCAACATAAACTAAAACTATATTTGTTTCGTCTTGTTGATCTGTCTGACGCAGTATCAAGCAGTCACCCGTACATCAAACCCACTGATAAAACTAATAAGGATAAATAATGTACAAACCTCAACAATGGAGACACACAGAATCAAGAACGAAGGGAGTCGGCCAAAACACCTGACTCGAGACAAGAGAACAACACACATTCGACAATAATGTCACTCAGGACAAAGCCAATCTTGGGGGAGCGTGTATGTGTTAGTGGGAGAGGGGCGTCGCCCTGCTTTTAGGAGGCCATTCATTTGGCCTCAGGATTGGTCTGAAATACCAGCGCAAAAACGAGTGGGTTCGTGAACAGAGGCAATATGAAAGTGTCGGCGGTGGGGGTGTTGAAGGGGCCCTTCGACGGCCACGTCTACCTCTCGCGTTGGTTGCCCGTGGGGGGTGGTGGACGAATGGTTATCGGATTAACTGGGTTAAGACTGGGGAAGGGGGACAGACAACTGTCTCTCCACTTCAAAGTTACCTCACGGGATTTAATCACCGTAGGAAAAGGTGCTAACAAGCAAGGGAGCCGAACCTGGGAGGGGGAGAGCGTATTCAATCATGTGCAATCGAATAAAAGGGTAAACACGAAGGGGCAGCCAGCATTCGAGGGAGGAAGGGAACAGCCTTCGTAAGAGGGAAAAAATCATATATAAGTCGGACAGGAATTTCGTTGCGGAAGGGACGAGGAGAATTTCAAACTCGTTCAGCCGGAAATAACAATAGTATTGACGTAAGGAGCAATGACCGCGAGAACTTCATTTTCCTCAGTGAGGGATCTCGTGAATTAATATGAATCACAGTTTCATCTGGCTCAGAAATTTGCTCTCCGGTCGAAAGAGAACGATAGCCACGGGCGTATAGAAGGGAATACGTGAAAAGCCAAATGTAAAAGCCTGCTCAGAAGGAGGTGTGTCTGGCTGTTCTCGCTCGTACTATGTTTGTGACACAGCAGTTATGGCCAACAAATTGCCCTTACCATCCCCATCAAATCTTTGTAGGCCTGATCAACGGCTCTTCCCCTTATAAGGGGGCGCTTAGCGGTTTGTCGAAGGAATGTCTATTCAGCCTGTTTGCCTGCTTTACACGCGTGCCGTGCATCTCCAGCGCAGCAGAAAGGGAACGGAACTCAAGCGTCAAGGTATGCTGAATTACTGGTGGAAAGCAGTGTATGCTCAACACTTGAGTAAATTGTAGATTTTGAAGAACAGTGTATTCTATCGTAGTCACCAATTGTTGACGATAGTTGTACAATGGGTACTACCCCGCTCTAGTTCCTAGCTGTCTCTTCACGCCAATTGTGTACGTGAGAGTGTGCGTTTCTGGAAAGCCTTGGCTGCGTGGTTAATGTCTGTCGCCTGCAGCCAACTAATTGAAGCGACGTGCACCGATTCGATTCGAACATACGCGCGTGATAAGTAAATACTACAAGCCATGTCGGGGAGGCAGGGCAGGCCCAATGGCGAACAGGACCCCTCGCATTCGCGTCATACAACAGCAGTAGCACCAGCTAACACCTGCGTTTAAATTATGATCAAACCATTGGCTGAATGCCAAACACTGGGTTTGTAGATACATCCAAGCCGGTGTGCTTTTTAATCCGGTTAGGAAATTCTAACAGTTTCGACCTTTTTTTCCAACCAGTGTCCGAAATATTTAAATAGACTGAGGCTTCTGCCGGTGCCTCGATTACCACTTGATTTGTAGTAAATTAGAGCCTTCTGAAGTTGTTGCCTTGCAATGGCGTCCGTTAAAAAAAAGTGTATTTAACGTATCGACTCCATGGGGGATGTCTTGGAATAAATATGCAATATTGGCTACAGCGTGGGAGACAGCAGACTACAGAACACAGCAATCTGCAAGAATTTGGGCTCGAGAGTTGACACATATACAACCTATCTGATCTTGGATAGCCCATAACCCCTTCCCACCGGCGACGCTGACTAGGGTCAATCGAGCGGTAACTAAGCCTTACAGGAAAAGCATCGGAGCGTTCGCCGGACAGCAGTCAAAACAACTGCTAGTGGTGGCAAGAAGTGGCACAGATCTTCATAACTGCTCGCGCAGACTTTTGATCTGTATTCACATACCACCTAAAGAAATAATGCCCTTATCTACAGTCATCAGTTGGGCGCTTCGGTAATGGTTGGCTCGGCACAAGAGCTCTATATTTGTCTGTTGAGGCAGTCCAAGCTTGATCTAGCAACAATTATTACTTCCGCTAACTTCATAAGACTTTGACAACGTCGGAGCAGAGGACACGCAAAACCTATTGGACCGAAGTGTCAAATTCCATGAAGCAAGACTTAAACGTCTTTCACACCCAAATTACTCGGCCCATGCACGAGTGATTGGCTACGGTCTAAATGACGACTTCATGGGTGACAACTCAGCCAAGGTCAAGCGGTCCCGTGGGAACTTTCAGCGTTTCCTCAATTCTGGTTCCCCCCCTCCCCTCCCCCTGTCTCTCCTCTGCCTGCTTCGTCCTTCGTGTACTTCTAATTTTTCAGGAATCAACCATCAACGCAGTACTGGGGCTATGGAGCTGCAATGGCCTCTTCTTAATGTGGTCTATATGGCACTCCCACCCCGTGAGATTCGAGCCTGGTGTGGCAGAACGCATAGGGGCGGTTCTGATCGTGCCAACTACCTGAGCTCTCTCCCGCCTCTGGTTTTCTTCCCTTCGCCATGACACCGAGCCCAGATGGGAGAGAGAGTGCAATAGATGCATCGAAAGTCTACTTTCACTATAAGCAAATTCGCGCGCCGGTCACCGTGCTTGATTTTAGCCTGTTGTGAAGTACGCAGTGGACATCATCGAAACCGACGGTCGAACTGCAGTATTATACAAGCTGCTGCTAGGGCATGAGATTGAACCTCCAAGCAGAACAGAACCAGTAGGTCCCCTATCACGATCGGTGAGCACCCCTCTGTCATCGTTCGTATACCCAATCACAACTGGTAGGACGACGAGCTCGCGGCTCGATGGATAGAGCATCGGAATTCCAAACAAGAGGTCGCTGGTTCGCGTTCCTGGTGATGTAACAGCTGGGATTGGGTATGGCTGGCTGATGATGGCCAATAGGCCATAAATGGCCATTCGGATCTCCCTTGTCTTTGTCGGTGATGCTATTCTGGCGATAATCTTTAACTAAATCGCCAGGAGGCGTCTTTCGAGTAGCGGTTTATTCCACAATCGAGATGTAACCCACGAATTAAAGTTCCAGTCATCTCCGGATGCACCAATTATCAAATCCCTTGACCGTCCTTCAGTCGGTAGTACGTACAGGATAAGTCTCACAACCGCACAACGGAACAGAATTAAACCATAGCCTTCTACACCTGCGCCGTGCTTCTGTTAAACCTCGCGTTGGGACCACAAGCAAATCCATAGTCGGCAGAGCATCCTGGACTGGTGTGGTAGGTCGCCACATTGACCCGTGGG